CATGTGACCGGTACGAAATTTAGCAAACCACTTGCGAATGGTTGCTTCGCCCGGGGCAGAGTCCGGATAACACTCATCAAGCCATTTCTTGCATTCGACGGCACTTTTTTTCATCAAAAAATAATGTTTCATTAACACACGAAACTCTTGACTTTCCATGGTTTTCAAAAATAACAAAAGTAGCGTCACTCTCGATACGATAACTCAAAAACTAATGATCCGACAGCTGTCAAATTTTGACAGGCATCTTTTGAAGGTTGGTACTAGCTAAGAAGCGTATGGATTTTATTCTGGTGGCGCCATCTCATAGAAACGATACGGACTTTTCAGCCCACCTGTTATATATATATACAGGGTGACTTCGAAGTTGAGTCATTTATTTTAACAGTGAGTAGATCTGATCAAAAGAAATGTTTTTTTCCTTTACCATTTTCCTGGTAAAATTAAAGTAACAAAGTTATAGCCCTTTGGAAGTTTGAGTACCGCCCTGTCTCAATAACAATATTATGTGGTCGTGTTTGGCGACAATGGATATAATCCGCCGTATCGGTTCATCGCATCGGAAACAAAAAAGCGAAAGAATTTGGAACGATGCTTTTACAGGTACCTCATTCATTTGTATACAGTTAGTGTCAGTGAATGCGTGGCTCAAACGAAATAAAAAATGGCACGTGCCTTTGTTAATGTAGTACAACGGGCTTGTGAATCAGGTGACTTAAGACCTCACAGGGGACCTCACGATCAAATACAGGTCCGCACTGAAATACTTGTCGGGAGAATACTTTATAAAACAAGGTAAAAATTTTTTTTTATTTTTTTTTTTATTTTTACACACATATTTTGGTTTATCTTCCTTCTACAATCATTATCTGAAAATTAATGACTCAACTTCAAAGTCACCCTGTATATATATATATATATATATATATATAAAATACATTGACACAATTGCAGAAGAATTCAAAAATCGATTTAGTGACTTTAAAAAAATCGAAAGCGACATTTCAGTTTTTACTCAGCCACTAACAATTTCTGTTGAGAACGTAAGCAGAGCAGACCTTCAGCTGGAATTGTGTGATTTGCAATCAGATCCTTTTTACCAAGGACGAACTGAAACCGGCTTGGACTTTTTTAAGTTACTGCCAGGAGAACGATACCCCAACTTGCGAAACTAGGACTTACAATGGGATCAATGATGGGAAGCACGTATCTTTGCGAAAGCAGCTTTTCCAACATGAAATTTATCAAGTCAAAGTATAGATGTTCCCTCTCTGATAAGTCACTTACTTAGTTACTTCGTTTATCAACAACAAATATTAATGTTAATATTGATGCATTAGTATTAGAAAACCAACATCCTCAAATGTCCCACTGTTTTTTTTTTGTAATTTCATAATAAATAAAAATAATCGAAAAACTATTTTTGTATACCATATAGTATAGTATATACCTATAAAACTCAGTAATAATGTTGTATAGAAAGATTTTATAAGGCGGCCCTCCAAACTGCATTTCTTTTTGAAGTGGCCCTTGGGCCACATTAAGTTGGACAGCCCTGCATTACGTTATTAAGATAGGTATTTTGCTTATTTATTTATTACTTATTTGTTTTATTGGTATAGATGGATAATAGCAGCGAAACAAAGAAAGCTTTCTGAAGATTACGTTAAGTTTGGATTTACCTTAATAGAAAAAGACGAGTTACATTGCCTCATTGTGTATGTATGAAAGTTTTAAGTAATTATAGCACGAGGCCTAATCGCCTTGAAATTTATTTGAAGCAACAACATCCTACTCTGGTTTTGAAGACGAAAGAGTTTTTTTTTCTTCTAAATCAGAATCAATCAAGCGGATGAGACTCAAAGCTTCATTTGAAACAGCTTTTATGATAGCAAAGCAAAAGAAACTTCATACTATCGGTGAAGAATTGATAAAACCATGTATCCTAAAAGCCACGCAGCTAATTTTAGGAGAAGTTGCAGAGCAAAAAATGAAGTCTATTTCTCTGTCGAATAACACAGTCAAGCGTAGAATCGATAACATTGCAGAAGACATAAAGCCACCAATAATTAACAAAGTAAAATTATCGCCATTTTTTGCCATTAATTGGGATGAATCGACCGACATCGTCAATTGTGCACAGTTAATAGTTTATGTTCGTTACATCGGCGGAGATATCATTCAAGAAGAGATTTTCTACACTCAATCTTTGACAGCAGGTACTACATCTGAAGATATATTTAATCCAGTATCAAATTTTGTTGAACAAAATGATTTAGATTGGAAGAAACTCATTGGACTTTGCACAGATGGCGCACTTGCAATGATAGGTGTACGATCGGGCTTAGCTAAAAAGCTCAAGGGAAAAAATCCCGCCATGGTTAGTATACATTGTTTTATTCATCGGCAAGCTTTGGCTTCCAAAACATTGCCACAGAAATTACGCCTTTGGAATCTGCTATAAGGATTGTAAACTTCATCAAGAGCAGCGCTCTGAACAGTCGGTTATTTACTTTACTTTGCGAAGATCTCGAGTCTGATCACAAGGTTCTTCTCTTCCATACAGAAGTATGCTGGCTGTCCAAAGGCAACATGTTGGCTCGCCTTTATGAATTGATAGAAGGGGTAAATCTTTTTCTTGAGTTTAAAGAAAAACACGATTTCTTGACAATGTTCAAGGATGACACATTTCAATGGAGATTGGCTTATTTAACTGACATATTTGACTCCTTGAATGAGCTAAACTTGAAACTTCAGGGCAGAAACAACACTATAATAAGCAATTATGATTATGTTCAGGGGTTCATAACAAAGCTTCAACTTTGGAATCAAAAAATGTCTTCTGAAAATGTTATATCTTTTTCTCTTCTGTTCGAACATACTGGACGCAAGCTGACATAAAAACTCATTTGCAAGCGCTGGAAGACGAATATGGCACATGACAAGAAATCCATTTGTTGTCGATGTGTCACAATTACCAGAAGTAGTTCAGGAAGAATTTATAGAAATGAAGGCTGATTCGTCCATGAAAGATGACTCCCGTCTTTTAACACTTGCCTCTCTTGCTTTACGAATACCAGTTCCTTTTTCTTTAACTTACTTATGTGAGACACCTTTTTGCTCTAGTTTTGATTAAAACTAAACAGCGAAATCGTCTTGACGTCGATAGCTACCTGACGATAACTCTGGCAAAAACAGAACCTAGAATCAACCAACTGGTACTGAACATGCAATCTCAAGTGTCTCATTAGTGCCTACTGTTTATTAGTTTATTTAAACTGTTACAGTTTCTGTAATAGAATTAAAATAAAAGTCTTTGTACCTATATAATGTAAGTTTTTTTTATTCATTGAAAAAGTAAAATAGGGCATGAAAATATAATTTATAGTCCGGGGAGCCCCAACAAAAAAAAAAGTTGGGAAAACATGCTCTAGGCCAGTGGTTCCTAACCTGGGGGTAATTACCCCCGCAGGGGTAAAACGGAGATTCTAAGGGGGTAACACGGGATGGCACGAAATAGTATTAAAATAGCAATAAACAAAATAATAGTACGGTAAACGGTAGCACGGCGCTCTCATGCGCGCGGTTGACGGCGACGGCGGCGGGTGAGCTGCGGTGTGGGAGGGGTGAAGCATGACTAGCGGCGGGCCGGACAGGCGGCGATGTTCATTTTGTTTACCTAAGCTTAGGAAGAACACGCATTTTATTTGTTCCGCCGCGCATTGCAGAAATCGTATTTTTAAACGGTTTAAATTCAAAGGTAAGCAGTGTTTGTTAATATCGTCACGTTAATATTGTCACGAGTGATTTGTTTACGTAGGTATGTATTAGTTGATTTTTGTTTTAGGTACCTACAGGTGTTTTTGACATGGCTTCTACTTCATCTGGCAAAAAGCGCACTTATAAAGAAGCATTTCTACAATGGGGTTTCACAAGCATCGTAGACAAAAATATAGAAAAGCCTCAGTGTGTTTTATGTAATAAAGTGCTTAATCCAGAAAGCATGAAACCGAGCAAATTAAAAGAACATTTTGCTAAAGTTCACAAGGAGTTCGCAGATAAAAATATAGATTTTTTTAAGAAAAAGGAGAGGATTCTGAAGTCTTCCCGCATGGATTCAACAGGCAATATACAGAAAGCAAATGAATCATGCCTTCAAGCTTCATACAAAATTGCTTATCGCATCGCACGTAATAAAAAACCACACACTATAGGAGAGGACCTCATCAAACCTTGCTTGTTAGATGCAGTAGCACTTGTTATTGGTGAGCAACATGTAGCTAAGATTAAACAAATCTCACTCTCAAACACTACTATTCAAAGTCGCATATGTGAAATGAGTGCCGATATTCTAGCAACCGTTATTTCTGAAATAAAGGAAAGTCATATGTTTGCGCTGCAGTTGGACGAGTCCACAGATGTTGCTTCGTGTTCACAATTATTGGTGTTTACACGATACATTAAAGATGATGATGTAAAGGAGGAATATTTGTTCTGCAAGTCTTTGCCCACTACTACTCGCGGCGAAGACGTATTTCAAACGCTAAAAGAGTTTATTGAGGAAAATGGCCTAGACTGGTTAAAGCTGATTGGTACTTGTACAGACTTCCATGATGGGCATCCGTTCTGGTTTTCAGGCACTCGTGAAGCAAGTTGCTCCTCAAGTTTTCGGCTATCATTGCTTGATACACCGTTACGCTTTGGCTGTGAAAACGCTTCCATCAGATTTGCTAAACACGTTGAGTGACATAGTAAAAATTGTTAATCATATTCGAGGCAGCGCTACTAACTCAAGATTATTCAAAGTTTTGTGCGATGAAGTTGGTGCTACATTTAATGCTCTTTTGTACCATACAGAGGTACGTTGGTTATCAAGAGGCAAAGTTCTAAGTAGGGTTTACGAATTACGAGAAGAAATTGGATTGTTTTTTGAAAATCAGAGAACACAAAAAGAAAAAGAATATTATGCAAAAATTAAAGACCAAACATTTATTCTAAAAATGGCGTACCTTGCTGATTTTTTCACTGAAATTAATAGTCTGAATATTTCACTGCAAGGAAATGAAACGAATATTTTGACGTTGCAGGATAAAATCGCAAGTTTTTTGCGCAAATTGGAACTTTACCAACGCAGAGTTCAAGCTGGTGATGTGTCAATGTTTACACAACTAAGTGAGCAATTAGTAAATAATAAACAAGAGAAAATCTCGTTTGAAAATTCCGTGGTTCAACATTTAACTGCCGTGATAGACTCACTGCAGCAATATTTTCCGAACATGGACAGTCGTGAGTCCTACTCCTGGATTTTAAGACCATTTTCTACTTGCGTCGATATTTTCAAGGACGAAGATGTGTCAGCGAAAGTAGAGTTTCTCGGGCTGCGTGAGAATAACTCATTGAAAGTTGATTTTCAAAATGATAAACTAAGCACATTTTGGCGAAAAGCAGCTGCAGAATATCCCATTATAGCTGACAGAGCTTTAAAAATGTTGATTCCATTTGCTACAACTTACAGATGTGAAACTGGTTTCTCAACTCTTGTTACATTAAAAACAAAAGCCAGAAACCGTCTGAATGTTGAGCATGACATGAGATGCGCGTTGAGTGAAACCGAACCTAATATTGTCAAACTTGCGAATGCAAAGCAATTTCAACCTTCACACTAGTTAACTCCAAGATTTACATATTACTTTACTTTACTAGTTACCTAAACGTGCAATTTCTTAGAATTTAGTTAGATAATAAACATATTTTCGTTCGAATTTGTGTGGTTTTAATTATTTTAAATTGGCTAGGGGTAAACTCAATTCCCATACTTGTTCACAGGGGTAGTGACATTGAAAAGGTTAGGAACCACTGCTCTAGGCGATATCGCACGCCTTTGGCCACGGGTTCAGGCACAGATTCTTATCGTACAAATTATTTTCATCGTTGTTTTGTGTGTATATTGCAAATAAACATGATGTCTTGTGTCCTAAAAGCGTTATGTTGGAGAAAAGATGAAACTTATCCTGTCATTTTCATCTTCGACCAATATTTGTGCGAAACAATAGATCAACGGGGTCAGGTAGATGCTGTCTATGTTGACTTTTCTAAGGCATTTGATAAAATCAGTCACAGTGTTCTGCTCCACAAACTTTTTTCTTTAGGCCTTCATAGTTCTTTTTTAAATCTTCTAAAATCTTACCTGCATCAGAGACGGCAATATGTTCACATTAGCTACATCTGGCTACTATGTTTCTACTAGTGGAGTACCACAGGGGACCAATTTGGGACCACTATTATTTTTGTTATATGTTAATGGCCTATGCACTTCACTGGAATGCAATAGATTAATGTTTGTGGACGATCTAACAATGTATGCGTCCATTGCATGTCTAGAAGATTGTGCTGCCCTGCAATCGCAGATCGATGTTTTACATGACTGCATCTAAATATCTCCAAATACAGAGTAGTAACCTTAGCCGACGTTCCACCATACTATATCCTTATACAATTAATGGTACAGATCTTTCGAGAACTGACTCAATCAGAGATCTAGGCGTTTGCTTTGACAGTCAGTTAACATTCAACTCACATATTAATCAAATTATTATTAATGCGTTTCAGGTCAGGTCGAAATTAGAATACTGTTCACTAACATGGAACCCAATTTACAATATTTATAAAACATGTATCGAAAAGGTACAAAAAAATTTTAAAGTACTTATCTTTCAAGCTTGATGGGGTATATCCACAGTGAGGTAGTGATTATGTGATGCTTGTGAACAGATTCAACTTTCAGACTTTAGAGAGCCGTAGAGGTCAGGCATCTGATTGGTTTTTGCATAAACTACTAAATTCAAAATTGACTCTGTTGACCTGTTGTCACAGCTAAATATCTTTGTACCGAGACATAATGCTAGAGATCATTACACGTTTTTATGTAAAAGAGCTCAAAGAAATACTCGTATATTAATGAAAACACCTATTAATCAAATGTGTGCAAGCGCGAACAAACTGTCTAACGTCTGTGACACTTTCTGCTGCAGTTTTTCAGTGTCGTGTCAATTTGTAATTTCGCTAGTTAGTTTTAGGTTTTTTATTACCCATTGGGTAAATGGTGTATACTGTTGGGCAAAATATGCTTTATTTATTATTATATGCTCTTCGGAATCCATTGTCAGGCCGAATCAAGTCACATATATATATATATTAATTTGTGTTTATTGTACGACGAAATAGAAGTTACGATATATATGTTGTTTGGTTCAGAGCTTCAGGGTTATCTAACGTCTGGAAGCAGAGATAACTGCCTTTTGACCGAAATAGATATAATATATGCGTATAGCATAAGTGAGAAGGTGCACAGGTAAGCCTCGTGCGATACAGGCAGCCGTAAAGGGCCACGAACCATGGTTCAGCGGAGGATTACAGACATAATTCCCGTCGATCTCCTACATTATTGCCACGTATCACGGTTAAATTCACAATAGATTTCCATTCAATTTCCGATATCAATGCACCCAGGTATTTCCGGTCACGAACGTATACCGGGTTGACTGGTGAATAACTTATGCCATACTGAAACGGACTGTTATGAGGAGCAACAGAACCACAGCACCTCAACGACAAAAAATGTTTATATCTGCTATTTATTTCGATACACGCAAACGTTAGTTACAAAAATATTCTGTAATTTCCTTTTAAAACCGCAATGTCCATGTCATAGGGTGTAGGTAGTATATTGTCAAGCACATTTCGAGAAATGATGTCAAGTAGGGTGACTCTGCACTTCCCACTCAACGCCGTTTTTTGTTCCCAAAGGATTATGTACATCACAAACTAGACCCTCTGAGAAAAAGGAAATCCAAAAAGGTCCATACAATTAGTCCTTTGGCATTCTTTCCCTGCATTACCGGTAATGTATCTGGAAACGTCGCCTCTCCACGATACTTAACCCCGGCAGACGTGGCGACGAGGTCAGAGCATAGGAGACACTATGCTATGCGCTACGCCGTGGCACGCCGCCGGGAGCAGCAGCCGTATCCGGTAGGTACGCGCTCCGTCTCCTGAGAATTTTTTTTAAGTTTAAAGAGCCATTAGCCGTACATTACGGAGAAATCCCTGATGTGTAAATGTGGGAGCTTATAAACGTACTAACGTTAAAAAATTAAGACAAATCCTCGCCACCTCCCACACAATCCCTATCCAAGTTTTCTTGTCAAAAATATCAGGATTCTCTGAAACGGCAAAGAACGAAGTTTGGGCGATTTTTATTGTTTTTCGTTTTTACCTTTTTCTCTGCCGCTACTTAACCGATTTCCAAAAACTACAAATTTTTTGCGTCCTTGGCACAGTAGTAACATTGTGTAAAACATTCATCGAAATCCAAGCGGTACTTCTGAAGTTATAGGCGGTTATAAGATTATCAGACAGACAGCCAGACAGACCATCCAAAGGAAATTATTGATATAGTTTTTGTGATGCACATGTCATAGAAAATCCAAATTACATAATATCTCGTTTTCGAAAATTATATATACATTTCTTCCCTCCAGTTGGAAGTAAAATCACTAGAAAGGTTGCATGGTTCTAGAAGTTTGTGTTCAAGGAGTTGAAGACAAAATACTCAGCAGTTCCAGCATATTTACGATTTATCGTGAAAAGTTGTTCACATTTCCTATAAATAGAAAGGCTAAAAATCGAATATCGTATATTTTTTCGTAGGTATATTCAAGAAGCTTCGGATGGAAGGTATATACTGCTGGCAAGTTTAATAATGAAAACTTTATCCGATAAAGTTTTGACAAATGTTCACAGTTTTCGATTTAAGGACCGAACCTTTTTTCATTTAATAACTTGATATGAATGTATGTCCTAAACGTCATAACTTTTGAGATACAGGGTGGTAAAGTTCTAAAAAATAAATGATTTATTAGTAATATCTGCACTAGAGGCATTTTTTAATGTACTACTTATTTTGAATTTAACCAGTGGCTGTCGTATGGAATTTCACCTGTCTATTTTGGCAGACGTTGGTGATACGCCGCTGATTTCTCTTAAAATAAAAATAATTCTTGGAAAGCCAATCATATCTAAGCAAATTTATTACGTAATTTTGTTGGTTATTGCTTAAAAAAACGTCTTTCTCTCTGATCATATCGAATTCGAATAGATTAGAACGAGTCAAGCCTTGCAATGTGTGACTCCAAAACTGCGTAGTTTTCGTGCATATTTTTCACTTATTTGTCCACCAGTGCCTACCAAGGTGACAGTGTGGTATCAACATAATATTTTTTACCGGTGGAAATATCTACCTTCATTAGGCTTCTGCGGCTCTTTGCAAATTATGTAAGCAGTACCGCGTCTCGAAATCGTCTAACACCACAATTATCTGCATACACTCACACTTTCAAAGACTAGCACTATACTGGGTGTTAATTAAGTATGTACCATAAATTTAACAGAGGATTCCTTGAGTAATTTTAAAACAAAAAGTTTATATGATCATATGTCTGCAAATTCTTCTTTCTAAAGATGCTGTTAAAATTTAAAAATGAAATAAATGGTTTTTCGTAAATATCTTAAATTCATTTTTTTGTGGTAAAAAATGTACGCCACTGGCTTTTGTGCAGTTTCTATTAGGTTCTTTGGATTAAGCAAATACAAATACCACTTTTTTGTCTCCTCTATACATTTCGCCACTTTCTTAGTTTGGAGAAAACAAAAGTCCACTGGATTGCATATCCCTGAAGCACACAAGGGATATGGGGAAAAGTTTATTTTGAAAATTGTTTTTTATATTTTTTTATAAATCCGTTGTTATTACATAATAAGTAATACATAATTATCAAAATATAAGCATACATTATTAAAAAAAATTTCCCATACTCCTGTGTTTTAGAGGTATGCAATTAAGTGGACTTTTTTCTAAGCAAGATACAAAAAGAATTCAGAAACCATAAAAGATGTATTTCTATTTTCTTAATCCAAGGGACATAACAAAAATTGCACAAAAGTCAGTACATTTGTTTGTCACAAATATTCGTTCTCATCCCGGTCGAGACGCCACTGGGCTTAATAAATTTAATCAAGTCAATACTAATTTAGCTGCTTGGTGTTATAAATACCACTGCCAAATTACAACAAAATTAGGTGAAGCATATTCAAGTTATTCACGAAAAACCATTTTTTTTTTATTTTAAGGCTCTGTATCTTGAGAACGAAGAATTTATGTTTATATGAACTTTTTGTCTCAAAATTACTCAAAGAATCGTCTATTAAATTTATGGGTCCTACTTAATCCCTGTATAAGCGAATTTAATGAACTGTCAAGTGCACGTTGATCCTCATTACAGACTAAGGAAATTAGTGGACAAACAAATATTTTACTGGCTCCTTCCACCTAGGCTGAATTCGTTGATCATAACAATATCGTTAATATGACAATATCACCACGCAGAGAAATATTCGTCATTTTTTTAGGTAGAAACTAAACAAATTTAAGAGATCAAAGCTGATCATAAGTGAATACATATTTTCAT